AGATATAGAACTTTATATGATAACAGTGAGCGAACCTGAACACCGCCCTTTATATGATTTATTTTTGAAATAATCAAGAATAGCCAAATAAATAAGTAATGATGAAGGTAATGGGTTGATAGTAAGTAAAACATCGATTACGGAAGAGCGGAAAGATTGATTTTGAAAACCACTTACAGACTATTGGGATCAAAGAAAACTTTTCGGAGAATGGAATACCCAAGTGAGAGCGTGTATTGTCGAATTAAAAAAGTGACAGCTGAGAATTTGAAAACTTTTGCTTTTTTTGATCTACGAAAAAGTGCGGCAAGAACGTAATATTTCAGAATTTCGGCTCGTTTGAGCTACTTTCGCGTTTAAGTTTAGTTTTTTGCTGAAAAATAGATTCTAGAGATGCTAACGATCATTTTTAGACCAAGAAATCAAAATTTTGTTCAGAAAATCCCACTAAATTCACATAAATAAAATGTGTTATCTACAGTATCCGTTTTCGCTCCGCCCCCTCGTAAATCGACACGAGCGCCGTCTCCGAGATTTTCAGTTGTCACTTTTTTTAATCCGACAATATCTATTCTCAACATAATACTCTGAACTTTTTTTCGTGTCAGTGTTCTGACACAAATAATTCATAGATATTGTGTAATTGTTTAAAAGAACTTGATCGAGAGCGAGCGGAGCGGCTGCTTGCGTCGATTTACGAGGTGGCGTTGCAAATCGGGGCGGAGTCTCAACTTTTGCTAAACTCTGCCGCAGTTGCACAGTAGACTGCGCCCCGATTTCCTCGGAATCAGTTCCACGCAGACAACCCCTTCCTCGCAATGGGTGAAGTCTCAGATTTTCAGGTGCCATTTTTTTCAGTTTGACAGAAGTCAGACCTATTTTCCACTTTAATATTTCCGCTGAACGTTCTTCTTCTTTCTTTCTCGCATTCATCAATCTATGTTTCTAGATGAACAACCGGGGAGGGTCTCGCGGATTTCCTCCACGACGATCCAGAGGTGGAAGAGGAAATAGTCGTGGAAACCGTAGTATGAGTGGAAACGGGGAATTCCGAAACGATTACAGCGATCGTGGATCGGATCGTCAAGGGAATCCAGATGGAAGGTGATCATTTTGTTTATTTGTGAAGTGATAGCTCATTATTTCTGTTACAGATCGCCTGAAGCCATTGACGGTTTCCCTTACCGTCGCAGTCCTTCTCCTCGTAATCCACCATTTGATCCATTCGTTGGACGACCATTGCAAGACCGTTCCAGGGAGGACCGTTCGCTCACTCCCGAATTCCGGCAGATGCTGTTGGATGAGCGTCCTTCTTTTGGCAGGAACGCAGCGAGAAAAAGTATCCCTGTTAATGTGAATCCACCTAGAAGAGATGAAGCCTCATCATCCTCGGTAACTAGCAACGAAACCGAGAAAAAATGGTCGCTGAAAATAGGTTAGTGTAGTACGTCTCAAACTCAACTCAATAAATATCTATTTTAGCGGAAGCCGATGAAGAAGTACGTCACGCTGAATACCTTCTCCACACAGCGAAGATCAAGAAGGAAATTGTTATCGCAAAATACAAGGAGTTTGCCGATAAGACTTATGTAAGTCTGTCAAATAATATGATTAACCTAATGTTTTTATTTCAGGGGGGAAATAATGGTCAGCCCAAACCAGCATGGTAGCTAAAATTCAAACGATAATACGATCATGTTGGAGATACGTTTTAATATCCTAATCTCACTTTCTGTCCAATACTTCTTTATATGTTTCAATACCCGCCGAGTAACCTGTGCCTTTATAATTTTTTTGATGTTTTTTTAAACACTCGCCTTTTTAATGAACTGCTTTAGAAAGGCCATAGTGAATCATGGAGAAAACTGTAGATTTTGAAATGGAGATCTTGACGAATTTCGTCAAATTGAAAGGAACTCAGGCTCCAGCATGTACCGAAAAGCCTATAATAGAAGGGACCCCACCCCGTCAATTTTGAGCTAATTTGTCTTGGCTCCTAGGCATGGTATCAAAACATCTCTGTAATTTTACAACAATTTTAAAAGTGAAACTATTCGCAATTTAAGAGAAGTTCATCAAAGGAAAATCCCTCGAGAGATTCTTGAGAATTCCCAGAATCGGAAAATTTGGAAATCGTGAAACGGGTCTTCGTTTTCTTGTATCTCATTCGTCCGCATTGTTTTTTCACTGTCCATATTTGGATTTCGCAATAACTTTTTAGAGTCGTCGGATTGCTCATTGTTAATGATAGCATCAAAATGGAGTTGCTAGATGTTAGTGATATCATTTTTTGGTGGAAAGAGCAACGTATTGAATAAAAACCGAATTGGGAAAAGAATCCACATTTTAGATATTTCACAACTCCAGATTAAAATCCATCTCTGAATTTGGCAATTAGTTCAGATTTTTCTGTAAATGAATTAATCAACAGAAAGCCAGTAGAAGCATACATTTTCAATGAATTATTCACTTTTTCGACAGGGTTTTTCAGAAGTATATGCGAACGATAATTATCTGGATTAGGGCAATCTTTGAAGTTCTCGTTCGTTTCCGGCAATTTCTGGTCGGAGTTTGATCGGATTCCGGATAATACTGCTAATAGATCCCACGGAGCTCCAACAAACTTATAACAAAGCTCCGACCAAAATCTGTCCATGGCCCGCTATACAGCCGTTTTTAGACAATTTGTTAGAATTTCTCCAATTGCCCAATGCTCTCCTCGTTGCTACCTTTATTCTCCCACTTGTTCTTCTTCCACAACCACCCAATATGCTAGGCTGACCCCTAAAAGGATTGATGACGTCATTTCCATCTGGTTTGTTCATCCTCGATATCTACCCCTTCTCTTCCATGAATACAAAAGAACCTGTGCATCGAGAACAGATATCTCACGCTATTCTTCTTCTTTTATTTGTGCTCTCACCCAAGCATTCTTTTTCATCTATTCATATTAATGTAAATTTGGAGAAGGAAGGGGTTTCTTCTTTTTTGAAGACAGTTGCATGGCATTTTATATGAAAAATACCTATCTCCGAAATGATCTCGATCAAATGCATAGTGCGAAATGTGGGAAAAAAGAAAAAATTCCTATTTTTCTTTTCAAAAAGGATTAGATTTTGAATCAATTAATTTTCGGGGGAAATTTTCGATGTCTCTTATGAAGTAGAGAACTCACATGAAGCAGTTGAATAGTCCCATTCTATAAAAAACCTTTCAAACTCTAAGCAATTTTGAGACAGAGTATGTAGACGATACAGTAACTTATTATTTCCGGTCCAACAGTTTTACACTTGAATTACAGTTATTGAAATTGATGAACTTCGTTCTCCAAGTTACTCTGAACTATCAAATGTGCCATACCACAATAGAACTGAAAATGGGATGAAATCTTATGAAAATATTGGGTAGCTTTTTCATTCCGGACATTCATGGCTTTCGGACTTTGTGCACGTCACCACAAAACTTTCAGCTGCCAATATGTTTTCCTTTTCTTCATTATTTTCTCCATAAAGATTTATCAACATAACAATTTAATCTTCATGAAAAACATTTTCTTATCCTCTCAACTAATCTAGTCACCTGACTGACGAACTATCTAAATAAACTGATCATATGCACAATATAAGGAAGCAGCTTATTCTTTCTATCGCCATGAGGCTTCTATAATCTTCTAATTGCCATGGATTTCACGTCTCCTTGCTAGTATAGGTGGCCAATTAATTTAGATTATCCGGCGACTTCGGGTGTTGGTTAGATTCCGGATAAGACCCCTACTAGAGCCGACCAAACTCTGCAAAATTTTGGACAAGATTCCAATCTAGTATAATTTAAATTTTCAACTTCCGGTCAAAATATCACCATGGCCTGCTTTTCAGCCGTTTTTGGCCAAGTTCCAACCATAAGTTGAGGAATATCCGTCCAAAAGACAAATCACATTCAAATTTTAACCAGAGATGACAAGCCTAGTAAAAATAGATAATTGAACAACAATCGGTCAAAGATATTCCTCTTTTAAAAAGGAAAGGATTCCAGTAGAATTTCCGTTCGTTCAGTGAAATTAGGTTACATGTTTCCTTCTTTGGCTCTTGTGGTTCATCCAATATAACATTATTCATGCGCAACATATTTTTCTGACCGCAAAACCTGTCATTGATGGGCCTCCTTTTACTTTTAACTCATTTTTTTCAGTTCGTGTCGAAGGAATGAAAAAATTGCCAACTGATAAATTGTTTATCAAAATATCAGAAGTGTTTGGTCGGTTTTTAATACTTTGCATAGGAAATGAGATAATTGAGCTTAAACTTGACAATGTGGGGTCTTCTATTAGGGATTTTACGGTAGTTTGAAAATTATCTCAATAACCATCAAAATGGTATTTGTGCAAATAGAATGTGCTATAACTTGTGATTGCATATTGTTCGCATGTGAAATTACTTCTCTCTCTCTTCTTTTTTTGACCTCACACCGTTCCTTCTATGAAACATGTTTATTTTTCCTCTTCTCTTTTCCCTTATTTTTTCTTCTTTTCCATATTTATGGAAACTATTGCAAAATGATGTGTTAGTGATTCATTTTTCCATCTATCACAATCCAATTCTTCTTCTTCTTTTTCTTCTTATCAATCAAAAAAAACATTCAATTCATCTTTTCCATTTTCTCTCTTCTTCATACAGTGTTTCACATAAAGTGAGCAATAGAAAATGCATTCGGGCGTTAAGAAAACGTCACAAAAACTAGACAGTGGGAAGCATGGGGAGAACGCAGACGCGAAAGAGGAAAAAACCGAGAATGTTCCGCAAGGCCCAAGGGGCGGCGCCAAAAGAATGGTGTGGTGCTTTAAAAGGGAATGGTTTTCAGCTTTTTCGGAGCAGTTTCAGAAGATTTTCGTGTTGAACTTAGGAAAAGGTCCTGAAATTTTGAATTTTTATTGAATTTTATTCTCTAGATAGCGAAAGTCACGCCTCCGGGAGGAATAAACTTCATTCAAAAATCGTGAGTTCAATCGAAGAAAAAGGTTTAGAAGCTAGATATATCAGATTATTTCTTTAAGTTTGACCGCAATTACTTATATTCTGGTAATTGGTATCAAGAAAACACCTATTTCTTTTTGATACACGCCCACCCAAGTTTACACTTATCTTCTAGTATGTAAATACTGATCTTCTAGTATGTAAATTCACTTCTCAACATCATATCCTGTATGTTCTATTTCCGTTCTCTTCGAATAATTCGATTTTTTGGTAACTTTAGTCAGTTTTACAAAAATACCCAGAAATCGGGAAAAATTAGAAAAATTGGTAATTTGAAAAGTCGCCAAAATATGAAAATTCTTTGAGATACTCACGAAAACGTACCGAAAAAACACAAAACTAAAAGTTATTTTCAGTTTAAAAGCGAAAATTCCCTAAAAAATGACCAAGATTTCGAAATTTCCAGGGGGTCCTAAAGATATTGACCGGCCAAAAATAGGTCTTTTTGGTGGTACTCTTGTACGGAAAGTGCTAAAATCATGAAAAATTGTCCCCGGGGGTTATTTTACATCCTGAATCGAATGAAATTCAAAGAATTTGGATATCTCTTCCCGTTCTTCCGCAACCCCCAAAATAGAGGGGGGTCCTAAAGATATTGACCGCACTGTATTAGAGTGATTACGGTATATTCCTCTGTTTTATTTGCCCTTCTCTTGTTTCTTTTTTTCGTTTCGGATATAATCTTCTTGTTCAAATTTATAACCTAACTTCTGAAAACCCATAGAACCTGTCAGTCATTCATAGAATCATTAAAACGATCTCCAATCCTTCCAGAACAATGGGTAGAGCCTTCGAAATCGATTTTTCAAAATTCTCTAGAACAGGTTTATGTTAGGTTTTCAAATTCTAGTTTTTCTTTTGAATGGTTCCATCTTATTCAGCGTCAATAAATTTTCTTTCCATCTCGGGCGGGCCATCCGAGAACACCCGTCACCCAATAGGGTGACGAGCCGCCAACCATCCGCCGGGCGACAGGCGGGCGCCACACCCGAGCGAGCGGGGCGGGTGAAACTCGCCCAAAATGTTAAGCTTGGAAGTCAATATCTAAAATTTTAAAAAGTTCTCTGGTTCATCGTCGTCGTTTTATTATATATCAAACTTCTCAAGTTCCGCTATGCACTACCTGTTCATCATTTTTCCTTGATTCCATTATCATCTCAAACGGTCACCCTCCTTATCTTATCTTTTCCTTTTTCTCTCATACTCAGCCCATTCCTCTTTCTTTTCTATTTTTCTCGAACTTCCGTAAATCAGAAAAAATCATTTTTAATTTTAAATTAACTTTTATAATTATTCGCTTTGTTTATGAGACTGAATTTGAAAACGTTCTCTCACTTCTTCCTCCTTTATCTCTTTCTTTTTTGTATTCAAAATCAAATTTTCTCGTTTCAGTAACCAACAAACTTTTCAAGAATGCCATCGAAGGCCAATAAGAGGAAGGCTGCTGCCGAAAGATCTGCCCAGTTGGCTGCTGAAGCTGTCGATACTCCGGGATCGGATGTGACTCCAGCCAACGTTCCAGCTACCGCCCCTGTTTCTGCTCCAACTAGAGCAGCTCCACCGACTGAAGCTCTTGCTGCTCTTGGAATATCTACCGATGCTCCGTCAACTCCAGATCAGTCATCTCCATCTTACGGAAAGAAGAAGCATGTTCCATACGAGCTTCCAGCGAAGCTCACACCTCTTCAAAAAACGAGTTCATTCAAAGTGATCACCAATTCTTATCCAATGGAAGTCGAGAAGAAAACTTGCTATCGTTACGATGTACACGTTCTGGCACGGCAAGAGGATGGGAAGACGATCGAGTTAACGGGATCAAAGGGAAGCGATCGTCAGAGACAATCGGAACTTCATGAGATCATCAATATTGTTCTGCGTCAAGAAGGGACCCAAGGCATAACATGTATCTATGATGGAGCTGCCACCATATATGCCAACGGACAGATGAAAAATAAAAAAACTGGGGCGGCCGGTTCAATTCAAACCACAGTGGAGAGTTCGAAAGTTTCGGAGGAAGTTAGAAGAAATTACTTCTGCAATGGACAACGAGGAAGCTTCCATGTCCTTATCGAACCCAACACTGCTCAATCAACACTGCTCACCACCGACGTCCTCCACGAGAGTCTCAACTCAACTTCATGCCCCGTCACCCAAATGTGCCAAATTGCTCTTGGTGAGGAAGCCAGATTGAAAGGATTCATGAGCACGGAGGGAGGAAATGAGCTCTTCGACAAACCAAATTTAGCCAGGTCTAGAGAAGGAATTGAAACAATGGATGGTGTTGGAGCTAGTGTGAAGATTGCCACAGGACAAACTGGAAAAGGAGCAGCTCATGTTGTCATTGACTGTAAGTTTGCAGCTGGAATCATTGAAATGACCATTTCACTTTTCAGATAAAAAGAAGCAATTTTTCGCTGCTGGGCCTCTAGTCAACCACGGAATCAATTGGAATGATAGTGCTGAAGCTAAAAAACGAATAAAGAATCTAAAGATTGGTACTACTTATTCGTCCCAAGTGATACGTGCCACCGGAGTCTCGAAGGAACCAATGTCTCAACTCACATTTATTGACAGGGATGGCAACGAACAGAGTGTCATGAAGACAGCCAGCGAGCTTTCCGGAATCCCTATTGCGAAGTTCAACAAGAACTGGCCAGCAGTGCAGGTTAGAAAGGGGAGAGTCACTTTTAGCTTCCCGATTGAAGTCGTCCGAGTGCTTCCAAATCAAAAATTGACGCCAATACACGGACAACCGCCAAAATGTGAAAAAGCATACAAACGATATCAATTGATGGATGCAATTGGAAAGAAGGCATGCCTCCTATCTCCGAACAACACTCTATCGGCGTTTGGAATGAAAATTCAAAACACTCCGATCGTCGTTGATGCCGTCGCCGCCAAACTGCCAACTATTCTCTACAAGGACAATTCAAAGACGTCCCCGGCCATTGCAAAGCAGGTATCCGTTTTGACTTCTTTTTGAAAAATCATATTTAGACTTTTTCAGGCCAAATGGGAAATCGGTCGAAGCTCCTTCATACTACCAAAAACAGTGAACTCGATTATGATTTTGTTCAATAACGACAGAGCAGAAAACACTAAAAAAATTAATATTTTGATTGAATCTCTCTCCACATTCGCCAAACAATTGGGAGTAGTAATTGGAAGCATCACTAGTAAAAATTTGGCTGAAGATGGAAATTATAACAGCTTGAGATCAGAAGATGCCCTTCGTACAGTGAGTAATCAAGAAATGTTATTAAATCTTCAAATCGTTCAATATTACAGTTCTATGCTCATCTCAAAGAGCAATTAAAGCAGCAAGGATCATCTCAGAAACCGTCCCCATACGTTATCTATGTGGACCATAGTAGCGAACCTTATCACCAGCTTCTCAAGTACCTCGAAAGGAAATTTGAAGTCATGACTCAGCATTTGAATTTCGACAAAGCACTCCAAATCCGCTCCGGCTCGCCATTACTGTAAGTTATTTTTTATGATTCTTTGTGTATTTTATTTCTGGGTTTCAGTGGAAAAAGTACCATGACAAATATCTTGATGAAGATCAACTTGAAAAACGGAGGATTGAATCACAAGGTCCTTCCTGACCCCTCAATGTGGGTTATTTTTAACATTATTTTCTTTATAATGATTTTTCTTTCAGCGATCACCTCTGGGGAGACAAATCCAACACTCTCATTATCTCCTACGATGTTTGTCATTCTTCCGGAAAAGTCTACAAGAAAGGAGAGACTTGCTTCGAGCCAAGTTGTGTTGGAGTATGTTGAAAACAACTATAAACCAAAAAAATAATATCTTACTTTCAGTTTGGATACAATGGAACCAGTGTCCCAGAAGCTATCATAGGAGACTTCCACTACCAACTTCCACGGAATGAGCAGGTCGATCCTTCTGTGTTGACTCTGCGAGCCAAGTTAATGACAAATGCCTACGTCAAAGCTCGAAAAATGTGGCCTGCAAACGTTCTGATCTTACGTGATGGTGTCTCCGAAGGACAAAATGCAATGGTTCGTTTGGAAGAGTTCCCGGCCATTCAAAAAGGAGTCATGGATGCTTTCAAAGGAAACAAGGACAAGGATGCCAAACCTGCTTTCGCTCTTCTGGTTGTCCTAAAAACCAATTCCAATCGTTTGTATCTGAGAACCCAGACCCAGAGTGGTAATTTTTCATTTGAATTTCGTTCTTATTAAGATATTTTCAGGAATCGAAAATGTGCCACCAATGACAGCAGTTGACCATACAATTGTGAAAAAAGAAGGTGTCGAAATGGTCATGGTCTGCCATCACCCCTTGAACGGAACAGCTCAACCAGTTCTTATCAATATGCTTGTGAATGAAAAAGTCTTCGAAACGAATGACCAGATTGTGAATCTGATGGGAGCAACCTGCTGTGCTCACCAAGTCAGCACCGGCATCACATCCATTCCAGAACCGATATGTGCTGCCGATGATTATGCCAAGAGGGGAGCTGATCTTTTCACAAAGTATCAAGAGTAGGTTTCCCTCGAATTCTGATGAAAATGTATTCGATTATTTCAGGGAGAACAGGAACAATATGCCGACGATTGAAGGTCCCGACGGCGTGTTGCAACTCGACTTTGACAAAATCACGCGGGAGCTGTGCTTCGAGTTTACTCGCTTCAAGTTGAATAGAATGGCTTGAATAATCAGTCTGATACTATTTCAACCCCACCCACCCGCTTGTGAATTTTGAATAATCCCTATGCTGTTCTATTTCTTATTTTATTCTTGTAAAAAAATTCTTTAACAAAGTTAAGTATATTGTTATGAAAAGTGTTTTTTGTGATTCAAGCTTTTTCAGGGAAAAGAAATTAGCATTAGAATAGATTCTTCGGAAAATATGGGGTGAAGAAATAAGAAAAAAAAGAACGAATTTCGGTTTATTATCTTGGTATGCAAAAATCGGAGCTGTGGGAGAGGAAATCTGATGTCTGCGGCTACAGTCGAAATACCGTAGTTAGCGAATATTTTAGATTTAGAAAATTTACCTTTCCAACTTCTTTGAAATGCTTTAACACAAAAAGGAAGGAGTCAAGAAAAATGGACAGACAATTTTAGGTTAGGGTGGTTTTCGTTACGGGTAACCACGGTGTTTTCTCAGAACATCTTGTAAATGCGCTCAAACGGGAATTACCGTATACTACAGAAAAATTAGCGTTGGTCTCGACGCGAAAGCTTCAAATTGAACTGATGAGTCACTACTTACAGCATGGAAAAAAGCGCTCAAAGATTTTCTCTTCCACAGATCTGATTTCTTTGGGTACAAGAGTAATATAGAATCTCCAAGTCAAGAATCCCAGGTACAGAAGGTTGTCAAAAGAACAAAAAAATTCGGGTTTCGAGAAAACGAGATTTCATCAGATTCAGAAGATCTTCCCGTAATGTACATAAGGCAACCAAATGAACTTATTTCTACTTCTTTTCCTTCTTCTTCTTCTTCTTCGGTTTCTCCGACAACTCATCCCTTTTTAGTTAAAACTTCTTCTTCTTCTTCCTCTTCTTCTTCGTTTTCGTCATTATCAGTACTTAAGGTCAAAGAGCAGAAAAACAGAAAAAAAGAAGAAAACTAGCGCCCGTCACTGTCCAAAACTGATAATATTTCGGATCATTTTTCTTTGGAATTCCATTTTTCACCTTCGTCTTCCACCCAACACCGCCCTCATCTGTCATCATCCAATTCGTCCGTATCAACCACGTGACTTATTCCGGCTTGTGTATATTTATAGTTTGTTGCAACTGAAAGGGAAGAAGAAACAACGGTTTTATCAGTGTCCGAAGCTTCTCTGTTAACAAAAGAAGCAGCGTTTGTGTTCAACACACCAACACGTTTTGTCATAAACGATAACCCCAAAAAAGACAACTGTTTATGATCCCTCTTGTTTTTATCGGTAATTCGGAGAGGCGAGGAAGGGTATCTTTAATGGTCGCTATCTCTCCTTGCGGGGGTATTTTTATCACTTCTAACAGTTCTTCTCGAAGTTGTAAAAGGAATAGAAGATTTGAATTCAAACACGCATTGATCTTATAGCCCAGTTATAGTAAGATGCAAGAAAAAAACACTTCGGGAAAGGGATTTGATATCAGAATCAGTGATTTACAATCGGTCAAAAAAAAGCTCGTCCTCTTCTCCCTTATATCAATATGTCATTATTCTGCTTCTTCGTCTGTGTCCACTATAATGAAAACATCCACGCGGTTGTCGGCGTCGTCGAATTCCTCCGACGACGTTCTGTGAGAGTGTGTGTCTAAGTCTATTTTAATTGAAACCAACTATACTATCCTCTGATCTCTCTTTCTTCTTTTTTTCCCATCGCTTGATTTCTTCTTCTTCTTCTTCTTGGAAGGTCACTAGTTTATCAATTTGCAGACCTATGTTAGCACTAGTGGAGCGTCGACGACGACGTCATTTCCCAGAGCCACGTAATGGTGCTCATCAGTACATGTGAGTGAAGAAACGCCGTCTCATCGAATTCCAATTTTACAGGCAAAACTTGCGCGGGGCTCACACTAATACACTCTTCATTGCATATACAGTCAACCATGGTACTGTGGATCCAAACACTCCCGGTGTGTACAACAATCCTAGTACTGCTGTGGTAACGAATTTTTCGAATATCCAACAGAAAATACCATTTTCAGTTCACTTTCAACGGAACTACAAGACCTGAGCATTTTATCGACTACTTCCACTTTCAAAAGGCTTCAATTCAACACATTGACCCACAAGTGATTCAGCGGGTAACACAGTGGATTCTGGAAGATTTCAGATCAGAACGAGAGATCCTTCCGGATTATATTATCGTATTGCGTGATCAAGTTCACGATTACTTGCAACCAACGGTAGGTAGTGCAAGTAGAAAGTGACCAGCTAAACTTGAAGATCACATGCATGTCTTTCATGAAAATAGAGAAAAGTGGACGCTGCGGCAATTCCTATCAATATCGTACCAAAAAAAGTTAGATCCCTGTATATGAAAATTCTTGACTCCATTCCGAATGATGTTCATTAGTCTTCTTGTGAAACAAAATAACCGATGGGATTCGTCAGTTGGTGTATTCAAAAAAATAAGCGGGGCACAACAAATAACAAATAACAAAAAGTAAAAAGATGAAAAATGAGAATCAATTGGTCTCCATAGCTTCGGCAGTCTTCTTCTCCTTTGTTGCTGCTCTCGTTTTGACTGTGTTTTTGTTGGCCACTGGCGCTCTGATAAGATGCATCTTCTTGTCGACTTTCGCGAGGAGTCCCTTCTTCTGTACGATCTTTCCTGGTTGCAAGCGTTTTCGGATCAAATTTCCATATCTGCAAAAAAAACAAATTATGAAAAAATTGTGTCAGAAACACTTCATACCTCTTTGTTTTTAATGCGGAAATAGTTTTAGCAGCTTCAATTGTCTTCTGGAACAGAGCTCTCTCATACTTCACTGGCTCATCTCTGCGCTGTTCCAAAAGTTGTGTAGCGTCGTTGATGAGCTCCTTTCCGCGAGCACGACGCGAAGCTTTGGTGAAACGAAGCTTTCTTGGGTTCTTCTTCTTTTTGAACAATTTGTTGCATCTGGAGCGGCAGAATTTGAACACCTGAAAGTGAAAAAAGATTTTTAAAAATTTTCTCCGTATTTCTTCTATTATGGGGTTATTCATGATATAAAAATGTGATTTTGAACCTATTCATTCTTTTCTTTTGTGTTCAGTAAATAATTCATAAATAACCCCATTACAGAAGCACATAATTATATTTGAAATCCACTTACTGTGCTATCGTTTCTGACGAATTGAATTCCATGTCCCGGGTAGATCGGAGAAGAGCAGAAGTAGCATTTTTCAATGCGCATTTTTTACCTGAAAATAATCAGTAACTTTTTAAGTTTTCATATCAGGAAAAATGGCTTGAAAGTTTTCAAAATCGCTTTTTTAGTGCTAGAAAAGGAAAACGAAGAAAATATTTGGTCGCGAAGTGTGTCAGGTGACTAGAAATGCGCCAGCGACGACCTTGCGCCATTGGGTTGCAAAAAAGCGGGGGAATTCAAAAAATAATTTTACTCTTCTGCAGGTAGAGCGTGAGGAATTCGAAGCATTCAAGGAAGCTATTTCAAAATACGCCGAAGAAATTCGAGGAGATCATAATTGGGTGCCCAGGTTGGCGTTTGGATTAGCTCCATGGAGACCTGAAAACTCGGAGCCACTGGTTTACTTGTTTCAGAATGACGATCATATTTTTGAAACAAACGAAGAGTTTCAGCATTTGATTGTCAGCATGTTCATCACGATTCGAATTCAAAACTTCCGATTCCCAGTCCTAGAGCCGTTTTGGGCAGCTGAACATACGGCCAATCTATGGACTAAATTGTTCCCATCATATGCTACGTAAGTTGAATAAACGATTCTCCAAAATTTGAATGTTATTTTCAGCTTCACTGCTGCTCAAAACCGACCACTTCCTCGTGTCGGAAACACCGAGCAGTACGATTTCGACGCAATTTCCCTACAATTCCACCTTGATCCCAATTGAAAGGAGTCTGAACTTTGTTGAACCTCTTTTACGTTGATGCAACTAAATATCATAATAAACACTTCAGAAAAAAGATAATTAACTAGTTTCATATCATTCGAAAAGCAGGAGTTCTATTATAAAATGAGAATTAAGTCAGTAAAAATACACTGCTGAGTTCAGATGTGGAGAACCGTAGAATTGAAGAAATTTGAGTGTCTAGAATAGGAAAAAAACATCGAAACTGGCATGAAAAATGGAATTATTTGATCAATCATTGGACTCTTGGCCGTTTGGGATCAGAGTGTCCTTCATGTGAAAGATGTTCTCTCTTTCTGGCATCCAGAACACGAAGTGCGTGGTTGATGGAGCTGGAAGACAGTTTTATTCCGACGAATTAATTTGAATAATGTACCCGAGCAAATATTCTTCTGTGACTGGACGAAGCATTGTGTCCAAAACATTTTGAGCAGTTCGCAGTCCGTTGGGAAGAGATTTATCAGTACGTTCTCGCATGAACACCCATTCCGTTGCCTACAAAATTGAATTGAAAAAAATTTTATTATGTAATGTCTTACTTGTCCCCGCTCGTTCACTTTTAACGTGCATTCAATGATTTTGCCATCATATTGTCTGAGGGATGCTGTCGCTTTCATCGACCCAAATGGTTCTCTCTGGTTTTGAACGAATAAATGTCCAGTCCATTCAGGAAGCATTCCCTCGCGACATACTCTGAGCACACCGATATTAACCGGAATGATAATGTAACACTCACTTGGTTATTTTCAGAAGGAAATCAACAGAGTTGTGGGATGGGGGTTTCCATTTCAAAACTTTGTCACATCTTCCAGTCTCATATTGCTGAAAAACATTCATTTTGTGTTAGTAAACCACATATCGAACATACTCTGTCAGTTGGCTGAAAAATGAGTCCGTCAATTTCGTGTCCAACATTTTTTACGAATTTTCTTTCAAATAATTTCCATGTGGTCTCGAGAACATAGAAGTCTTTTCTCCTGACAGACATAGTTTGCCGTTCCCGACGCAACTTTCCACTTCTGAATCCAGCGTCTCTTTTATCGATAATTTCAGTAGAAATGATTTTGAATCGCTTAGAAAACGGCTCCTTCATTACATTGAATCCCTGAAAATCGAAACCAAAATGGAATTCGAGCTAGATATCGAACCAGGCTTGGTCGGATAAAAGTTTTCGGAGAATCGGATACACGAGTTTTTCTCCGACTTTTCTTCGGATAATTTCGGAGTATTTCGGATAAAAGGTTTTTTGGCCTTTAATCGAGGCGAGCGACAAAAAAACACAACTTTCCGATGAGCAGCAACATTAATAACAACTAAAAGGGCAAAACTAACATCTTTAATACTGCAGGAAGCGATATTTTGGTCTAACTTATTGCTTAACTTTCGGAAGATTTATGCCTCTGTCGGAGAAATTGTCCGAAATTATCCGAGTGTATCCGGGAAAAAAGCTCGGACAATTCTCCGTCGGATAATTTCTCCAAATAATTAATAAAATTTTCCGGAGGATTCTCCGTCGGAGAATTCATCCGAAGAATAATGTCGGATATTTATCCGTAGGATAACTTATCCGAAATCATCCGAAAAACTCGGATAATCGGATATCCGATTATCCGACTCCGACCAAGCCTCTATGGAACGTACCCCAATTCTCATAACATCGTAAATTAGCATTCGAGGATGATCACGAAGAATACCATGCTCTTCTACCTGAAATTTTCTCTTCAAAATAATATTATTGTGAGGATGTTTCAACCTTGTCAATGATGACTTCAGTGTCGACAACTGTTCCTTTAAGTGGTGATCCATCATTGTTCACAAAATCTAAGTTATCAATTTCAAACACCTCGTTGTCACGATCAAATGCGTAGACCTCGCCATCATTAATATAAACGATGTACCTGAATTTTTTTCTAATTTTCGGTGAATATTTGTAAGTGTAACCTCATTCCGTCGGCTTTCCATGACACCATGTAAGGTTCTTTCTCAAAGCAATTGATGTTGTCTCGACTTAATGATACTGGTTGGAGCCCGGGAAATCCTTGTTTTGACCATTTGCATAGTTCTTGTATCTGAAATGGCATTTCATGAATTTCATTCAATGCAATGAGTACCTTTGCTTGTAGTATACTTTTCTTCCCCGGATCTTCAACATGTCTTGCTCCCTTCACTAGTCCGTCCATGAACTGTTTTACACCGGCACCATTGTTTTTACCATTACTACTGCTAGCGCTTTGATTCCCGTTTCCTGAATATTGATAAGTTTTAGATAAAAAGTAGGAAATAAGAAGTGGAAAACCATTTGCAAAATTAGCTTGGCTGCTTGAAGCTGTGCCGTTGTTGTTTTGATTTGATCCATCAGTGTAGTGATGTTCTCGCTCCCAATCAGGCTTTTCTGGAGCCATTACTCTCTCATCTTCTAGCGGTTCATAACGTGTATATAGGTCATCGATGTAGTCTTGTTTATAGATTCCTCCTTGACGATTTTCAGCAAACTCACGGATTGCGGCATCCAGACCGTACTCCTGAGAAAAATTTTCTTTTCAAAATATTATGACTGTCTGAGAAAAAAGGTTCAGAAGCAGAGACAATTTGTCAGCGTCTCGAGCTTATATGTGATGTTCGCATACACCTGACTCTAAACTCTTTTTTCTCCGACCGAGATAATACTTTTTAATTACATGTCCGTACATTTACTTGAAACAAATAGGCGGCGATTAAGAATCCTGTTCTGTTGAATCCGTGTGTGCAATGAAGACCCACTAAAAGATCTGCATTTTTCTCATGAAATTCTGTGACGATCTTAATGAATGTGTCGGTTTCCTCTTTAGTAGGAGACATTCCACGACCAGCCATCGCCATTTTTACATATCTACATGATTTTTCTGTGACCTAAAATTGAATCAATCCATGTTTGTTGCACACGAATCATTGTCTCACTTCGTCCGGAAAATAATATCGATCTGTATTGGTAAGGTCAATCCACAATCCTATTCTACGGCCATTTAGAAATGGGCTTGAAAAGACGTCTGCTGGACTAAATTTCCATTTCCGCTCGGGAATCTGCTGATCATACATTTTACAGAGTGGTGTTTTGAATGGAAAAAACAAATCATTCACAATCTGTAAGAAAAATGTGTAAGAATCACTCAAATCACACTTTTCACGAACCGTTCCCGTTTTTGGACAATGTAGCCATCTATCAGGCAGTCCCAATCTAGCTTTATCGGGAGTCGGTCCTTTTGGAGCCATTGTCGCCGAATTTCAGAAATAGAAACCGACAGAGATTCTAGACGAAAAGCGGCGAATTCAGCTGCAGTCTTGCGAAATTTTTCGCCGGCGTTGTTTGCGCGTTTCCAGTGGTATGACACCTTTTCGGTGCGTTGGCGCATTTTCGAAATTTCGCATTTATGAAATAAATCTTGAAAAATGAGGAAAACCTCAGAGATTCGACGGGAGAAAACTGGGAGAGATATCGGTTCGAACTGGGAGAGGTTTTGGGTCGAACAGATATGTCACTGTGTTCTCTGCAGCTTCTCTCTTGGTTCGAACGAGCGGCGGAGTGTCGTTTGCGCGCGCAGTTTAGTGGAATTTAAATTTTCGCCCCTTATTTAACAATCAAATCAAACTAATTAACAAAAATATTTATTGAATCGAATGAATAGGAAGAATATAAGTATAAATAACTAAAAAGTAAAAAAATAACCTCATGAAATGTATTGTATTGAAATGTGAGCTAACTTCTTATTCTCAGCTCCGGTATCGCAGTATTCAGAACTTCGAAGTGAATCACGATATCCGGAACTCTCCTGCAAACCTTCTTTAGTGCTCTCGTATTTTTGCAGCTTGTAGCATTATGGCGACTGGAGCTCTGGAATGAGATATAGGTCATAAGTCTGCAAAAGGGAAGTGTTCATACCGTTTTGTTCATAGTACATTTATGTCCTCTAGCGGACGATGTGTACTCTTCCTTGAGATTCATTTAATAAGTTATCTTCTTCGCTTCTTAGTGCAAGCTAAATGCACTTTCTTTCAGTTCTTCAGAAAATAAAATCCCAATTCGAATTCTTTAGCTTTTCATTGTTTACAGGTTTGTAATTTCTCTTTCAATCATCATAGGCTTGGGGTTGTAGATAGGATGAATATTCTTTATGAAATCAAAGACGATTCAACTGAAAGAACAAGGTTTTTAATTATGTGATGTTGTCAATAAACTCACTCAAAGCCTACACTGAACTCATCGTTTTCAGTAAATCGAGATATTCTCTATCTTTCCTGACAACGTAAGGTTCCCAAGTTTTCCATGTTGATTCCGAGTGACGTTATCCGAGAGATTTTGCACTAAACGGCAAACTTTCACCGAATGTTTCTCGCAATATTTAGGAAACAATGACGAGAAAAGCGACTCCTGAGAAGTTCATTTGTATACTCTTCTGGAAACCCTCTTAACAGTATTTAGATCATAAACGAATTTTCCGGCATGACGAACCAACTTCGCTATTTAAGCGGATGAGTTCAACAGCCATGTACATAATTACCGTACTGAGAATGCCGCGTCAAAATCCATTCATTAGATAACTCATTTTATATAATTAATCCCGATATATTTAAATCGTTTTGATTGAGTCATAACTTCTTTATTCCATTGAAAGTTTTCTTTATTCCATTGAAAGCCTGCAATTTCACGCATGTTTTTTGTCACTAGATTTCCAGACTAACCTGCTCACTACAAGCCGCGATTTCCGAAACTCAGAGCTTTTGAAATAGTGTAAATTGAGGTGAGAGCAATTTATCGATCTCTTCTTCCTTTTTCGGTTATCTCTTTCATAGTTTTTACAAAACCATTCAACGCTGAAAAAGACGGAAAAAATGTTACCTGCAGAGCTCTCTCCGAATTCGAAATTCTCAAAATCGTCGTTTTTTTTGTCGGTCATAAAAATCGCAGTATTCTATAGAAGCCGTAAACATAAATAGAACATATGCATGAATAAAACTTTGAATATTATAAATTACAAAAAACTGTTTTTGCCAACGACGCTCCTCCTTTACAGGTGCGCCTATTTTAGCAGCTTTGCAGCCGTTCGAACCTGGTTCTCTCGGCGTTTTCGCCAGACCCCCTTTCTCTCCCAGTTTTCTCCCGTCGAATCTCTGAGACTTTATAGAAACGATTTATGTATTAAATAATCAAATAGGTTATCAAATATCTTTCTTCTTGTCGTTGTCGTCCTTTTTCTCATTGCTGGTCTTTTTTTCTTCTTCCGGATTTTTCTGGTCATCCATACCATCGTCCACCTTCTCATCTTTTTTGTCTTCATCCTTCGATTTTTTCGGACCCGTTTTCTTTTCCGCCTTCATGTCATCCTTTTGCTTCTTAAAATTCGCTTTAGCTTCGTTTGCCTGAAACCAGTTCTTTGTTAGGAAGAAAATTTTTTTACAAATTTCCGAACCATTCCTTCCAAATTCTCGATATCTTCCAGAGCAGCCTCCCATAGTTCCATTCGGTTTTTAAGCTCTTGTTTTAGTCCGAGTAGACCTCTTTTCATGTGCATCAGCTTGATTTTCAAATCAGCAAGCAGTTTTGCATTATCCACCGGTGCTGCTGGCGGTTTCACTTGTGTCGCTAGTGGATCAGCCATTTCAGTCACTTATCTTCAAATAATCTTCTTCTTTTCAGTAATGGCGACCGATGAAGTGGCGCAGGATGTGTCTCAGGTCACCGACTTCTACTACCACACGTGTAGAAAGTTCAGGATATTCTCCGAGAAGGTTGACACAGTTCCTGCTGGAAAAACAATCAGAAATCGTCTTGCTACGTCTTCACAACTCGGAGTGACGTTTGCTCTTGTAGGCACTAACCAGGTGAATATCCCTAAAATTAGAACAGTGATTTATAACTCATGTTTTCAGCTGTTATGTTTTCCTACGAAAAGTCTACTCAGTTACAAAGTAACTCGGGAGAACATGATTGTTGAAGTGACGGATCTTTCTGCCAAATCTATCGGACTACACGGAGTTGAAGAGATTAACGATATGGGAGTCAACTCTGACGGCACACTGCTGGCAGTTTTACAAACTAGAAACAATGATGTTTCTGTAGATGTATTCGATATAAAATCTCTCTGCTCAGCTGTCAGTTCTGTTCCGTTCAAACCAATCTGCTCAACACGTGTTGGTACAGAACAAGTCAACCAAGGAAGTTGTTTTGAATGGAATCCTGCGTTTCCGGATACGTTCGCAGCTTCATCTACCGATAGAAGTATAATGGTTGCAAAGATCGATGTTAAAAATCCATCCAGTCAAAAACTCATTGGAATCGGGAAACTTGGAGCTATCACTACTGCGATCAGTTGGAGCCCGAAGGGAAAACAACTAACGATTGGAGACTCGTTAGGAAAAATCGTACAATTGAAGCCGGAGCTGGATGTTGTTAGAAGTCAGGCTGGACCAAAACACACTCCCGCTTATGGAAAAGTAACTGGCCTATGCTGGCTTGCAACTACTGAATGGCTTGTTTCTTTTGAAAGAGGAACGGATCATGACGCGTATCTGATGAGATGTAAGAAAGACAAACCCAC